CGGTATATAACGAAATGCGCCTGCGGGCGGACCCTCACAGAACACATCACAAAAGATATGGCACTGCAGGCCATTTAGAATTCCCAGACGATCACTGAGTAGGCCAAATCCCCACTGGGCCACCTGAACATCGAAGAAAGGCACAAAAAAAATCTGTGAGCCCGAGAGCGGCGGGCACGTCGCGCCGCATGGTGGCCGCGCTGCGCCGCTCGCCGCTGGCGCGCGGTTGATCGCGGCGCCGACTCCGCGGCGGCGCCATCTCACGCGGCGGGGCGCGTCGCGTCGTCGGCGCCAAAACAGACGCGAGCGCGCGGCGCGGCCGCGGCAGCAAAAACATCAAACCGTCTACTTCTCCTTCTCTTCTCATCTCGTCTCGTCTTGTCGCAGGCGCACACGCGCGCGACGTGCGCACGTGTCGCCGCGTTCGCTCCGCGAAGGACGATTCGAACCGGGAGCCAGTCGGCGCAGCGGCGGCACGCGGCGGCAAAACGCACGACGCTCTCATGGAGATGCTGCTGCTTTGGCACCTCCTGATATAATGCTGATTTTTTGCCGAGCGGGGCGGAGGCACGCGGGCGGCGGAGGCGGCGGCGGACGACGTCTACTACCTGGCCGTCCCCTGTGGTAGCTTAGCGATCAGGGAGGATCTACCTGTTCGGCATCGAGGAAGCTGCTGGGGGAGAGAGGGGGGGAGAGAGGAGAGGAGGAGAGGGGAGAGGATGAGAAGAGGAGAGGAGAGGAGAAGAGAGAGGAGGAGAGAGGAGAGAGGAGGAGGGGGAGAGGAGAGAAGAGGGGAGGGGGTGAGAGGGAGGGAGGGAGGGAGGGAGAGAGAGGGCGGAGCGAGCAGAGAGAGAGGAGAGCCTTTGAGCCTTGGCACCAGCCAGGCAGTTGATTTGGCCCTGGCACCAGCCTTGGCAGTTGAGTTGGCCTTGGCACCAGCCTTGGCGGGCGGGCACGCGGGACATGCACAGGCGCCAAGGGGCGCAGCGCCGACAATCACGGCGGTGATTGCGGCGCAGGTGGGGGGACGGGAAGTCCGTCGGCGTTGCCGGGGGCCCAAGGAAGCGCGAGGGAAAAATTCCGCCGCTGAGGGCGCTCGTGCGGCAATAGCCGAGTGGAGGGGGGAGCGTGCCGGACGGGGCGTCGTCGCGCCGTCCGATGGTCTGCTGCCCCGCGCAGCAACCGTCGGGCGACGACCCGGGGGCCAAAAACCCGGCGACGACGGCGCTCTGGATGGGGCGTGACCTCCTGCCTCCAACCTCCTTCCTTTTTGAGCAGGTGTGACGCCGCGCGAGCGACGCTCCGAGATCGCCCGAGATAGCGCGGCGCGGCCCCGAGATCGCCCGAGATAGCGCGAGATCGCCCGAGATCGCGCGGCCCGGGGCGGGGTGGATGGGTTGGGAGCGAGGGGGCGGAAGTGCTCAGTGCGGTAGATGGTAAGCTCGAGGCGCGTGAGCCGGACCTGTGAGCCGGACCACCCCCTCTTGTTCCCTGCGTTGTTGAGCCAGGACTCAACATACTCGGGCTGTCCATCCCAAACTGTCACTCCCCTTTCTCCCGGCCGGGGTGGGGCGCGCGGGGGTGGCGGCGGGTGTGCGGGATGTCTGTGGGCCCGAGAGCGATATGCCATGTCCGCCGAGAGAGAGAGAGAGCTCTCTCTCTCCCATGTCCGCCTTGCTTTGTTTCATAACATCGAAGGCTAAGCTCAAAAAATACGTCAACAGCGCTCTCAATCCAAAGCTCCTGCACCCCACTCGCAAGCAGCTCTCGCAAGCCTCTCGCGACCCTCGCAAGCATGGTCCTCTCAGCGATCGCCGCGCTGCCGGGCAGCTTCAAAGCCATGCGTGGCATGTACCTCGAGCTCTCACGCTCTATCTCTCACGTCGATCTCTCACGTCGCCCTCTCACGTCCTTCTCACGTCGCCCTCGCTTTCAGGTTCGCCTTCCACGGCCTCGTACTTGACGTGGGCATCATCAACGTCCTTCCGTTCGTCGACGAGGCCGCCAGCGACGCCCAGCGGACGGAGAAGTTCCCGTGGGCCCTCGGTGGTTACGCAGGATTCGCCCGGGTGCCAAACCTCGGACCCACCCACCGTCGCTTCATGACCGAGAACATGGCGTACGCGATCCTGCGCACGGCGCCGGCCCTCTTCTACACCAACGTGCCGATCCTCTGCACTGCCGTTGCTTCGCACCTTGTCGAGGCTCTCACCATCGCGTGGGAGATTATCTACTACGAGTGCCCCGCCAACGCGATGGTGCCAGTCACGCTCATGGGCCTCTTCTCGACGCAGACGCTCCTCACGGCGCGCTGCCCGTCACGGCTTCTGCACCGGCTCCATCTGAGCGCCCCGCCCCTCGCTCGCACCCGACAGGTCAAGTTCAACCAGGGTGCCCTGATCAAGAGCGCCGACCACCCCACGGCCCTTGCCGCGATGACGGGGATGGTCGCTGGCGTGTGGCTGACCTGGGCGGCAGCGGCAGCCACTGTCGCCGCGCGCAAGCCCAACGAGTCCAAGTGAGCCGTCGCATGGCGGCGGCGGTGCGCGCGGCCCGGCCGCAGCTGGCAGCTCATGAGCCAGGCCGCACCGGCGTCTGTTTGCCACACCGCCGCGGCGTCTCTTTGTTGATAACGGGGCGCCGGAGGAGGCATCATTCTGTTGCATTATGCATACGTGTGTCTGCAATTTCTACAAGGGCCACACTAATGAAAGAGAAGCAAGTCCATCGCCCACCACAGAGAGAGGTGAGCTCGCGACACACCTAGGGACAGTGTGGCACAGGGTCACAGACGACGTGAATCCCGTGGACGGTTCTTTTTTCGGATTTCGCGGTATCCGCGGCGAGATATGGGCATACAACCGGAGATGCCAGGATATATATCGGGGTGCAATTGCGGCTCTTTGACGAAGGCGTTCTCATACATCGGGCATGACAAAGCGTCGACGCAACACCAGCAGCGACACCAGAGGTTGAGACACGGCGGCCGTCGTGCGTGTGCTTTCGCCATACGTGGCGCACCCCCCGGCGTCTGCTCTGGTTTGGGGGCGGGGGGGAGGACTCTCATTTGCGGACTGTTGGGCTCTCTGTGTTGAACTGGGGCTTGTGCGCGAACCCCATCAGTCTGGCCGAGCGGCACGCCGCCGCTGGGGGCGTGAGAAGGCAGTGGAGGACGGTGGCGGACCCCATTCTTCGATATAGAATGGGCCCTCACCGCGGCCCGTCTGCTGCTGAAAATGTGGCGTGTTGGGGGCTCTCCTGTGTGACTCCTCTGGCTCGCCGCGTTAAAGTGGCGCCTGTGTGTGACTGAGCCCTGGCTGTCAGGCTGTCAGGTGCTGTCAGGTGATCTGTCGGGCTGTCGGGCAGCTGTCAGGCACTGTCAGGTGCCTCTGTCAGACCAGCTGTCAGGTGCTGTCAGTGCTGTCGGGTGCTGTCGGGTGCATGTCTGACAGGCGAGGGGTTCTGTAGCTGTCAGGTGCTGTCGGAGCTGTCGGGTGTTGCTGTCAGACGCTGTCGGAGCTGTCAGAGCTGTCAGGCTGCTGCTGCTGTCAGACGGTGGGCTGTTGCTGTCAGGTGCTGTCAGGTGGTGCTGTCGGGGTGCTGTCAGGCTCTGACACACACCAGCCACACTTATGACACTATCAAGAGGAGACCAGCAGGACTCTACTACACATACATACTCTAGCCTCTACTCTGCCTCCGGTCCCACCATCTTTTTCATGGTGGACGTCACCATCTTCTTGTCTGCCGCACTGAGAGAATAGCAGAGTGGCAGGGTGGAGTGCTTCTTCAGGTACACCTTGCTGATGATCTGGTAGTTGCTGGTCCAGCGGAAGGCCTCCCCATCGTTGTCGCTCGTCAGCTTGTAGTACTTGCACGCTCTGTTCTGGTAGCGCGGGCCGTCTGGGGGGGTCCCGTCACCCTTCACCTCACGGTACCACCGGAGGATAAAGAGGCCCTTGGGCTCGTTGATGAAGACCCCGTTGCTGCGCTGACTCATGGAGAGCTGGCGCAGGTACTCTGCGCTGGAGCTGCCCCCCTCCTATGGCGTGATCACGCCGGCAGGGGCGGCCGCCTGGGGAGCGCAGATGGCGGCGCAGGCGGCGGCGGCGGCGGCGGCACAGACGGCGGCGGCCACCCCCACCCAGACGCCGTAGGCATATGACTGTAGGGCCCCAGAAGGCTAGCTGGTAGCTTCATTTGTAGTAGCACAGCCGCCGGTGCTAGAGAGGGGTCCGCAGAGGTGGCGGGCGGGAGGGTTGAGAGAGAGACCCATGACCATCCCATGACTACATGGACCACACTCACATGTCTTTATTGCATGTAACTTTGTTATACCCTCAATGGGGCACAAGAAAGAGGCTCTATGGGGTCTGTGTACGGTCTGTGCTGCTGTCGGGCTGTCAGGCTGTCAGCGCTGTTGTCAGGCCACTGTGTGCTGTCGGGCTGTCAGGCAGCTGTCAGGCTGTCACGTTAGGGCCTGACAGCGACGGAACCCCTCGCCTGCCAGACTCTGCTGTCAGGCTGTCAGACACGTGCTGTCAGACTGTCAGAGAAAGTGCTGTCAGCGCTGTCAGGCTGTCGGGCACTGTCAGGCGCTGTCCGGGGGTTGCTGTCAGGCTGTCAGACCAGGGCTCAGGTGTGTGACCAACCCCAACCCCGACAAGCGCCCCCCGGCCGCTGGGGCTGCGAGGCGGCCGGGTGAGCGCGCGCGAGACGCCATTCTAGATGTAAGGATGCCATCCTATAATATAGAACGGCCAGGTAGGGCTGAGACCGTGGTGGTGACTGGGGTGGGTGAGCTCGAGCAAACAACTGGATGGATGACTGCCGCCGGGCTTCCGTATCTGTTGCTGTGATGACACGCCGGTCACGCCTCGCCGCCTGTGTCTTACCGTGTTGCCAAACTGAGAGCGGCAAAACCCGTGTGTCTCGGGTCTCGCGCCTAACCCGTGTACGAAGTGCGGGGGGGACCGGGGGACCGATGTCGGCCTCCCGTGATGGAGCGAATGGAGCAGCTGGTAGGGCACGCGCTCGCGCGCGTGGACGAGCTGGAGAAGGCGACGAACGAGTTGGATACGAAGCAGAACGCAATGACGCAGCTCATGGATGCAAAGCAGGCCGCCACCGCGGAGCTCGTGAATGCGAAGCAGGCCGCCACCGCGGAGCTCGTGAATGCGAAGCAGAACGCCTCGGCAGAGCTGATGCAGGCGCTGCTCACGCAGGTTCACGAGCTTCGGACGGACAATCGGAGTCTTCGTGCCCGGCTTGATGCGCTCGAACGTCAGCCCAAGCATTCGGGAAGCAGCGGCAGCGCGCGCCCTGCAACGCTCGCAGAGATTGTGGAGCGACGCGATGCGCTTCGTGAGATCAAGCAGGCCGGCATCGATTGCCGGCTAGCCCGAGCGACTGGTTACTCGTGCGCAGAGGCGCGGCAAGCTGGTTACCCGCTGCTCGAGGCCAAGGCCGCCGGATGGTCGTCGGACGAGCTGAGGATGGCGGGTTACATAAGCTCGATGGGCATGTCGTCGCGCGAGTTCTTCGACCGCTACCAGGCCGGCACCACCAACTTCTCTGGGCTCGACTTTTCGGGCGAGGACTTCAGCCGGATGGTCATCGACAAAGCGTGCACCTTCGCGGGGTGCGACCTGACGGACGCCACATTCGATCACGCCACGCTGTGCGGGATCGATTTTGCGAGCTCGCAGATGGCACGAGTCGACATGAGTCATGCGCGCGTGCAGCGCTGCGACTTTGCGTCCACCGATCTGTCGAACGTCGATCTCAGCCACGCCGCACTCCACGATTGCACCTTCCCGAACAGCAGCCTTCACACTGCCCGGTGGGCGAGTGCCAAGATCACGGGCGGCGCGAAGACCTCCAAGCCGTTCAAGGCTCTCGGATTCGCGTGCTCGGAGGCGCGCTCGTTGGGGCTCCTCGAGGGGCTCCGGCAGGCGGGCTACTCGAGTGTGCAGGCGAAGCAGGCGGGCTACTCGTGTGCGGAGGCGAAGCAGGCGGGTTACTCGTTGGCGGAGATGAAGCAGGCGGGTTACTCGTTGGCGGAGATGAAGCAGGCGGGTTACTCGTGTGCGGAGGCGAAGCAGGCGGGTTACTCGTGTGCGGAGGCGAAGCAGGCGGGCTACTTGCCTCATGAGTGCAGTGATGCAGGGTTCACATTCAGCGAGGGGAAACAGTCTGGCTATCGTCACAACGAGTACTGCTGGACGCAGGGGGCTTCGCAGGGGTACAGCAAACTGGAGTACAACCGTCAGTATGGAGAGCAGCACAACCGTTGGTGAGCTGTCAATTCTCAGACGTCAGATGGTGGCGGCCCCACCTGTGGCCCCTGGCCCCTGGCCTGCTCCCTGGCCCTGACCCCCGCCCCCCTGCCTGCCTGCGCGCCCCATGGCACGTGCAAAAGGAAAGAAGTATCGCGGTGTATTTAATAAACTTAAATCTCGGAAGGTTCTGGGGGGAGGCACCGGCTCTCGCTGCACTAAGACCCCGGCTGTCGGTAGCCGGTCGGCCTACCATGCTCATGGTCACCCGTCGAAGAAGGTGCGCAGGAAGGTGGTGCTCTGCCGCCACGCCGCGATTTGTGGCGTCTCTCGTCGCTCTATCTGCCCCATGTCCTTCCAAAAGGCGTGCCCAACGCCTTCGTAACAAGTAACATCGTGCTCGACCCCAGCCTCTGCCAGCGCCGACCGGAAGCGCGCCGCTGCCGCTCGGTTTGTTGTTGGCTGCGGATCCTCCGCCCCATAGATGCCGCACACGGGAGCGCTCAGTGCGGCCAGAGCCTCGACCTTGAGTACCGGCTCGCCATAAAACACGACGGTCGCCGCGTCAGGGCGCATTGTAGTCGTAAAGCCAATCGCCTTGCCACCTCCAAAGCAGAAGCCGAGTACCCCGACTGGGAAGTTTTCCGCTACACCGTCCTGCGATGCGGCCCAGCGCAGCACCGCGGCCAAGTCTGCGTTGACGCGCTGCTGAGGTGTGGACAGCGCAAGCCAGATCGCCTTTGGTACGAAGTCGGTGGTCTCACCGCGAAAGCAGTCAGGCGCGATGCACAGGCAGCCCAGTTCGTCAGCGAGACCCTGTGCTTTGTCCACAATTGAGCCGGAGAGTCCCCAGAACTCGTGAAGCACGAGCAGCACTGGCAGGGCCCCACCCCGCGGCACCTTTGGCCGCGCCGCAAAGGCCAGAATCTCGCGGTCTTCTTCGGCAGGGACCTTCACATTCGCCAGATCCTCGAGTACGGCAGTCTGCAGCGGCCGCTCGAACAGGTGGTGCGATGCCCAAACCGCGCGGCTGACTGCAGCGGGGAGCGCGATAGACCGCGCGAGTGGCAGCAGCGCGATGATGAGCATCACCAAAGATCGCACTCCAGCCTCCATTCGGCTAGCGCGGAAGGCTTTTTGTGGCCGGGTTTTCTTTTTCGGGAGGCGCGGGCCGAGGAGCGGGCGGCGGACACCTTCCGCGCTGGCCGGCGGGTCTACCGAAGCCGCGCCGCCTTCGAGCAGGCCGAGCGTGACCGCGAGGCGTGGCACGTGTCCTACGTCTCCATGCACGTGTCCTTCGGCCGCCTTTCCAAGTGTGGTGCCTACTGCGCCCCATAGGCCGTTCCGGGCGTCGACCTTCCAACATACCACATCAAAGGCCGAGCGTGGGGGAGGCTCAGCAGCCCACCACCAGGGAGGTTTCGTCAGTCTCGGCGTCGCATCTGCCGCGCCGAGATTCGACGGACCGAAGGGGTAGAGGCTAGCGCTCTCGGTCGAGAGACGCGCAATACTCAAGACAAATTACTACCACCTTCGTACAACTCAACGTGCATTCATGCAACGCGTGCAACGCTGCACAGTGCTCAGGGTTCGAGCAGGTGCAGGCGAGTGGAGGGGCCCCTGGCAGAGTCGGCGGACTGTAAACTAGGTCAGGCCCCGGGCCCCCCCCCGGCCCCCCCTAAGTTGCGCCCACTCTTCCGGTCCTCACCGCCGCCGGTCGCTCACGATGTCGCTCCCCACCACCAACTCGCCTGACACCACGCTCGACAGCCTCGGCAGCGCCGCCGCCCGCGCCACGCTCCGGGCGCATCCCAGCCGCGGCTACGTCCAGATCGAGCCGCCGGTCGAGCCGATGCCGCGGCTTTCCAAGGAGCTTGGCGGTGCGGTGGAGCTCTTTGTCAAGCGGGACGACCTCCTGCCGCTGGCGGGCGGCGGCTCCAAGACGCGCAAGCTCGACTACCTCGTCCAGCAGGCGCCACCGCCCCAAGAGACGCACCATGCCGCCGATCGATGCTTTCCTAGACACGGGAGCCTTCGACGTGATGGCAGCGAGGCGCTCGCCACCTCTCCGCCCTCGCATCTAGGCGCTCGACAGCGGCGCCGACACCCTCGTCACCTGCGGCGCTGTCCAGAGCAACCACTGCCGCCTGACCGCCTCTGCGGCCGCGCGCGAGGGCCTCGGCTGCCACCTCGTGCTCGAGGAGAGGGTGGCCGGCAGCTACAGCCCCGAGGCGGGAGGGAACAACTACGTCTTCGGGCTGCTCGGCGCAAAGACGCAGGTCGTCCCGCTCGGCGGAGTCGACGCCGCCGTCGCCGCGCTGATGGAAGAGCTCAAGGCGGCGGGCGCCACGCCCTACTACATCCCCGGCGGAGGGTCCAACGCTCTGGGGGCACTCGGCTACGCGCGCGCCGCCATCTCAGTCGTCGAGGAGGCGCGCAAGGCGGGCCGCCCCTTCGACGCGGTCGTGCTCTGCTCCGGCTCGGGAGGCACCCATGCCGGGATGCTCACCGGCATGCGCGCCTGCGGCGACCAGACGAAGGTGTATGGCGTCTCTGTCCGCTTCGACGCCGCGAAGCAGAAGAGCCGGATCGAGGCGCAGTACAAGGAGTGCGCGAAGCTGTTTGGCAACGAGGCGCCCGAGGAGGACGTGGTGATCATCGACTCGCAGGTGGGCCCCGGCTACTCGCTGCCGACGCCGGAGATGCGATCCGCCGTCGAGGCCTTCGCCAAGCTCGAGGGCATCCTGCTCGACCCCGTCTACACGGGCAAGGGCGCCGCCGGCCTGCTGCAGCTCGTGCGGGAGGGCGCCTTCCAGCCGGGGGCGCGGGTCCTCTTCTTGCACACGGGAGGGGCGCCGTCCCTCTTCCACTACCAGCCCGTCCCCGAGTGACGCCGCCGCCGCCCGCTTCGACCGGCGCGAGGTCATTGGACCAGGCTTTTGCTGTCGCTGAGCTGTCGGAAGAGTCCCACCACGCGGGAGTGAGGATGTGTGAGTTGCGCCATATGTCCGGCCGGCGTGTCCCGGGTGTGCATGCGCATGTATACATTATTTTTTATTGTGATAGGCTAGTTCCATTTATCACTCTGACACGCTCTAATCTTGTTCTTGAAAACGTCCAACGGAGCTCCGTGTAGCTCCCAGCGCCCTCCCCCGCGCTTCCTGCGGCCCTAGCCGATGGTACTAGCATGGGAGGTCATCTGGCTACCGCGAGAGCGACCCAACTCGTCGACATCGTCCGATGATGGTGCCTCAAAGTCAGCCTTCGGAGGCTATCGTGGGGTCGAGCCGGCAGTAGCCGTGACATGTGGTTCCACCACCCCTCGTAGGCTTTGCCTCTGACCGTCACCGTTCCCAGGCTGCCTAATGGGATGGAAAGAAAGGCTCGGCGAGCGTATAGCAGCGCGCTCGACCTCGTCGTGGCAACCTGCACGGCAGCGCTGGCAGGCGCGATGAGCGTCAAGCCACCTGACCCGAGACGGGTCGCAGGCGTCGTACCGAGCGCGTCGAGACCGTGTCCTGATGTGATCTGCACGGGTGAGTCACGTCGGCGTCAAAGGAGCGACGTGTGACCTGTCAGAGCTTGATCTCCGATCTCAGCGGCGTCGAGTCATCTCCGGCGCGCGACAAAGGTACATCCACAGGACGCGCAGAGGCAGCTGCGACCCGAGTGAGTGCACTGACAGGTCACACGTCGCTCCTTTGACGCCGACGTGACTCACCCGTGCAGATCACATCAGGACACGGTCTCGACGCGCTCGGTACGACGCCTGCGACCCGTCGCGGGTCAGGTGGCTTGACGCTGATCCGGCGTGAAAGGGCTCCGGTGCGGGTCTTACGACGTGGTTGTGCTCCTTCTTCTTCTTCCCGATCTGTAATTTAAGCTGTC